ATATATATTACTCTTTTGCTGTCTATCCGCAACAGAAAGCAAAAATTCGGCTGCTTGATGGATTATACCTGCCGTCTCTTTACAGTGAGGTTATCTTCACATGATAAAGAACTTAAGAGAATTTCCAAACACAATTCATTGCCTGCTGTATTGAAAAGAAAATAATACAAGACCCCGAGGTAAAACTACCTCACTCACTTGTCTGCTAATGATAAATTAATGTGCTTGATTCATTGTTTGCCTGATCTCCACACGCAGAACACAATGTACCTTAGTTCTCAAGACGTAATCTCTCATGACTGCTATATATATAAGGTCCACCCAGTCCATTCAAGTGTACACTTGTACACACACACACACACACACACACACACACACACACACACACACACACAATCTAGGCTAGCCCATTGCACCACCACCACCCCGGTGACACAGCTTAAATTAAAGAAAACACAGGGAGCCACGAAAAAAAAGGTGGATGCGTGCTCAGTTTATCTATTTTGGTCTACACTCACCAGGGTGCGCAAATTATGTGTCAAGAGTCTTGCGATGCCTAAGCATTGTCGCTCAGTGCGGCTTCAACCCCGAGACTGAAAGAACCATTAAATAGTTTCTTTGTTTCGGCCCAGTTATATTCAGTTTGTAGGAATCTGAGCGTCGCAGGCCAAACCAATGGAATTTCATTCTCACCAACAGAAGGAGCGCCTGATCAGATGAAACTATTAGTAGTATTGGTAGACATCAGACTAGTCAGATTGCTTTTCAAGTTTAGTCTTGGTCCTCGAAGTCGTGACACTTTTCACGAAATACGTTTTGTCCCTTTTAAACTTTTGTTTTGATTTGATTTTAGCCAGCAGAAATAACATATTAAAGAAGAATTCCAGATGGGGCTGAATGCTGCGCCCCTATAACCTACCAGACGCCAGTACATTATTTGCATAATTTTGTAAGATATGTATATAAAGTCAATACGTGTATTTTGAATTATTCTAAGGCTACAATTAAAAAGCAAGGAAATGAAACATTCATTGTTCAAATGCACCCCCCCACACCCCCCCCCTCCCCCCCCAAAAAAAAAGTATTTGAAAACAAACTGTTTTACGTTTAGCATAAGAACAGCCAGATCTGTTTCTTTCTGTCCAGTGAACACAATGATGATTTAAAGTTAGCTTGCTGTGATCTACTGCATAAAGCTCTTTTTACATGTATTTACAGACGAACACGATGAAGTAGATCAGCATTTTAGGGGGCGAAAAGGGGGGGTGGGGGTGTCATAGTCATACGACAATCGCAGCACGTCGTGATCAGAGAATCAGGGTAGATCTAGAGGAAAAGCAACATTCAACAATAACACGTCATGTTTTGCCAGAAGCACGATAGACTACCCAACCGTAAATGATCATGTGAAATCTAATAAACTTCCTCTTTTCCCCCAACCCGCCATAACTTATCTGTTTCCAATTTTCAAATCCGTCCTCTGACACCGAGACGCTTTTGAGAGGAAAGCGGGAATAATAATCATGTTATCTCGTCTTGAATATTTAGCAAAAGTTCTTTGAAGACTAGATCTAGATCGAGGCCTATAAATCTAGAATTCTAAAAAATCTCAAGTACGCCCTACGTGCTCAGCTCTACCATAGAAAGAATTTATATACATGATAAAT